CCCACCCCACAATTTCCACCACCCTCCTCTCCTGCACATCTCATTTCTCTCCACTGAATCCTTCACGCTGCAGGGAGCTGCTGAGGAGCTGCACGGTCCATTCCTGGATCCTTCAACCACTGACTCCCATCCGCTCTGGCCACAGCCAGGTGCCGAATTCCACAACCTGCCCAGTGTCCATCCATGGAGGTGAGCACCGTGTCCCCACCTGCCACCTCACTCACAGAAATAGACGATCTCTGTGAGATTGATGTCGCCAGCATGGCTGTAGACTGTGTCATGCTGCTCATCTGCCTCTGTGGTGTGGCCGGGAATGGGGCTATCCTCTTCATCCTCCACAGGAACTCCATCACACTCTACATCTTCGACCTAGCCTTTGCTGACTTCCTCTTCCTCCTCCTCATGGTCCCCTCCACCCTGCTTTACCTGCTGGAGAACATGTCCTGCTCCAGCATCATGCCCCTGACTTACTTGAGGATACTTTTCTTGCTGTCACTGCTCCCCTACAACCTGGGGCTGTTCCTGCTGACGGCAGTCAGCATCTACAGGTGCACATCCGTCGTCTCCCCTCTCTGCTACCAAAGGCTTTGTTCCCAGCGCCTTTTGGAGGTGGTGAATGTACTGTTATGGGCCCTGTGCATCGGTTTCATTGTCACAGTTACCTCTCTGTGCCTCTGCCAGGAGCATGAGCACTGCCAGGGAGCACACATCTCCATGGACGCCTTCAACCTCCTGCTCTTTGCCCCAGCCATGGTCATTTCCAGCACAGTCCTCCTCATTAAGATCAAGTCTGACCCCCAGCAGCAGCAACCCAAGAGACTTGACATCGTTATCCTCTTCACTGTGCTCTTCTTCCTCCTCTTTGCTCTCCCCCTCAGCCTCTGCAATTTCCTGCAGCAGCTCGGCTACAACACTGTGTCCTCCCAGGTGGTTTTCCTGCTCACCTGCATCACAAGCAGCATCAAACCCTTCATCTACTTCTTGGTGGGGAGCTGGAGGAAGGACTGCTTCACGGAGAGCTGCAGGAGTCACTTCTCCAGGAAGTCCCTAAGGAAGGCCCTTCACAGTGTCTTTGGGGAGCAGGAAGGGAACACTGCCCCCAGCAATGATGCCACCATGGACACAGCGTTCTGAGACTGTGATCCCTTACACTGCCCTGCTGAAGGACCCCGGGACAGTGGCTGAGGGATTCCTTGAGTCATCTGAGCCAGGAACTCTCCCATTTGCTGCACTCGGAGGATCCTTGAACTCCCACCGATCCTGGGCGGATCCCTCTACTCCTCGAGGCTCGACCCTCTGCCGGCGAGCAGCTGCAAAGGCATCCAGTGTGAGCATTACACTGCCTTTGAGGGGAATTTTTCTCAGGGACCTTGCAGTGACTGTTTGTCTGCGTCCACACACGTGTTCATATTTCTTGTTTCATTGACTGGATTTTCTTTGTAAGGTTTTTTTCCTTGTTGTGCCTGTCTGGTCAGCGCTGGAGCGAACCTGACCGATGAGCTCCGTTGCGCTGTCGCTTAATATTAAATGTCTCTTTTAGTGATGTCCTTGGCGGTGGTTCTTTTAGCGATCACACACACTCATTTGGAACACTCTCGCGGTGTAATCCTGCAGGAGAAGGGAGCAGCGGCACGTGGGAGGGATGCTCTGAGGGGAGCACAGGGGAGCTGGGCTTTCCTCCTCCGTCCCGGCTCCTAGAGCACCATGGCCAGGAGGAGCAGACACTGCCGGGGGTCCGGGTGGAGCGGGGCAGGGCTGTTGGGGGAGAAAGGTGGCCCCGAGGGAGGGGGGTCTGGGGTGTCGGAAGAGTCTGGAAGGGTCAGGAGAGGGTAGGAAGGGGTCTGGATGGTGCCGATTCCAAATCTCCCCACTGGAGGACAGCAGAGGACACTGGAAGACAGCAGGCCACGCTCGGAGCAGGGGAGCCGCCGCCGGCCGGGAAATCTGCGGGATGGAGAGGATGGGGTGAGGATGGAGAGCGGGGGTGGGGAGCAGGGATGAGGATGGATGGGGACAGGCAGCAGGAAAGGGGAGCCGGGATGAGAATGGGATTGGGATATGGCGAGGAAGCTTAGCTGAGCGTCCTTGGCCCCAGGGCAGGATTTGGCAATGATCCCGGAGCTCTTCCCAGAATGCGAAATGCTTCTGACAAGAACGCAGCTGCTTCATCAGCACTGCCAGCACTGCCAGCATTCCAGTGCCACCAGCATCCCTCTGCTGCTGGAGGGACCGTGACCCCTCAGGGAGAAGAAAGGAGGAATGGCAGAAGCTGTCGAGAGAGGGAAGGCAGTTGGAGAATGGGACATTCTGCAGGGAAGTGGAATGTTTCTAATCGGCAGGAAATGATGAGCTAATCGAAAAATTCTGCTTGTGGAGCATCTGGCAAAAGCCACTTCCTTAGTGGACAAAACCCCCAAAAAATCATGACAAATGACTCTGTAGAAGTGGAGCTCTGACGTAGCCAAAGATGCAATTTCCGACTCCCCTGTGACTCAACCGAGCCTTGGGGAGCAACACCGGGACAGGGCACAGAGAGCGCCAGCAGAACGGGAATGGGGAGCTCCTGGTGATTCGGGCACTTTCTCCTTCATGTTACTGACCTGGGAGGAGCCGCTTTAGGATATGGATCCCAAAGGAGCACGAAGTACCAGGAAGCGCTGCTGATCTGGACAGACCCCCTTTGCCTGCTGCTGCCCCACAGTGAACAGGTCAGTGGAATGTTTTCCTTTCTCCCAATGCCACCTTCCTCTCCTCCAGCAGCTGCTCTGTTCCTGCCACCCTCTCCCGGTGACCGCAGGGCCCTCCCCAGCTCCTCCCACTCCTGCCCCGCGCTTCCCTTCCAGATCTCCTGCTGAACATCCCAACCCTCCCACCTCCCTTTCCCACCCCACCATTTCCACCACCCTCTTCCCCTGCATATCTGACTTCTCTCCACTAAATCCTTCCCATTGCAGGGTCCTTCTGAGTTGTGTGGTCCATCCCTGGATTCTCCAACTGACCCCCATCCGCTCTGACCACAGCCAGTGGCCACATCCCACTGCCTGCCCAGCACCCATCCATGGAGGTGACCACTGTGTTCCCACCTCCTGCCTCACCCACCGAGGGAGATAATCTCTGTGAGATTGATGTCACTGATGTGGCCATAGACAGTGTGACACTGCTCATCTGCCTCTGTGGGCTGGTCGGGAACGGGGCTGTCATCTGCCTTCTCCAAAGGAAACCCACCACCTTTTACATCATCAACCTGGCCTTTGCCAACTTCACTTTCCTCCACTTTGTGGTCCCTTCCACTCTGCTCTACCTGAAGGAGGAATTGTCCTGCTCCACTATCATGCCCCTGGTGTTCCTGAGGGCTCTTTTCCCACTCCTGCTGTTCTCTTACAACCTGGGGCTGTACCTGCTGACAGCCATCAGCATTGACAGGTGTATATCCATCCTCTACCCACTCTGGTACCACTGCCACTGTCCCAAGCGCCTGGCATGGGTGGTGTGTGCCCTGCTCTGGGCATTGTCCATCGCTGTCATTGCCATGGTGATTTCCCTGTGCCTGTCACATGAGCATGAGCACTGCCAGGTGTCTCTCACCTCCATGTATGCCCTCAACCTCTTCCTCTTTGCCCCAGCCATGGTCATTTCCAGCACAGTCCTCCTCATTAAGATCAAGTGTGGCTCCCAGCAGCAGCAACCCAAGAGACTCAACACTGTTACTTTCATCGTTGTGCTCTTCTTCCTTCTCTTTGCTCTCCCACTCAGCCTCTGCAATTTCCTGCAGCAGCTCGGCTACAACACTGTGTCCTCCCAGGTGGTTTTCCTGCTCACCTGCATCCACAGCACCATCAACCCTTTCATCTACTTCTTGGCAGGGAGGTGCTGGAGGTGCTGCTCCTTGGAGTCCCTCCGGCTCTCCCTCCAGAGGATCTTTGAGGAGCCAGAAGAAAACACTGCCCACAGCAATGAAGCCACCATGGACACAGCCAACCCAGCCTGTTGATCCCTTCCACTGCTCTGATGAAGGACCTTGGCACAGGGGCTGAGGGTTTACTTGAGCCACCGGATTAATAAATATCCACAGGATCACCCTCTCTGTGGTGCTGTAATCCCGCAGGAGAAGGGAGCAGGGGCACTGCCGAGGGCCGTGTGGGAGGGATGCTCTGCGGGGAAGCACATTTCCTCCTCTCTCACACCTCCTAGAGCACTATTTCCCCAAACGGATTGTGCCCCACATGGCTGTGGTACCAAAATCCCCCTGGCACCTGGTTCCTGCATCCCACTGTGGTCTGGTATCAATAAACAGCTTCGTTAACGCTGAGCTGCCTTGGCCCCCTCTGCCTGCACTTCCCAGCTCCCTCTGGCTCCTGCTGCCGGCCAGGAATGTGGCTGGAGGGAGGGGACACGGCCATGGCTTGTGCTCCCTGGAGCAACCACGATCCTGAGTGCCCAGAGCTGGGCTGGCACCGGCACAGTCAGCATGGACAGGATGGCCCAGGGGCTCAGCATTCCCCCATGACTGCCCTGAGAGTGTCACAGCAGAGATGTCCCCAAAGATCTTGAATTTTTAATTTTGTGAGCCAGGTGCAAAGGGCTCTGCCTTCAGAAATTCTTCCTCTCCACTTCCTTCAGCCGCACCCTCAGCAGGCTCGGATGGTGCAGCAGCAAGGAGAGGAGGAAGCTGCAGTCCTCAGCACAGCCACCCCCTTCCAGGAGCAGGGTGACATCCGTGTTTGTCACCGCGGGCCCCGCGGAGCATCACCCGCCTCCCTGTGCCTTGGCTGGGGTCACCAGCCCCACCACACCCCACACCTTTTCTCCAGCCCCACCACGAGTTTCTCCCGCACATTACCACGAGTCCCACCACATCCCACACCTCCCCACTAT